ATATATATATATATATATATTCTGTTAAGGGATGAAATTCTTTGTTTTAGATGAGACAAATATTGATTAATGTTATTAAACGTGTATTAAATTATAATAGTGAAAGCTGTATAATTAATGCAATATATAGTCTTATTACATTAATTTTATATAACTGATCACCAGATAGAATACATCCATTATTAATTCATACATACAAAGTAATTAAAGAATATATTCACTATGAATCTCAAATGCCAAGTAAGTTTGAACTTATAAGAACATTAATTTGAAGAGTCTACAACATTTACTATAAGTGTTTACTACATCAAGAAGAAAATTACTCAAAGTTTCACCTTGTGCAAGAAAGTCACAATCAATGGAAATAAGATATCCCAAAGATCAAGTGATCCATCTCCCCCATCAAAGAAGCACTTGTTGTTACATGCATTATCTTCCTTGTCATCTAACAAAGTTTCCCACCAATTCTCAGATCCTAATAATGAACCTGCACTTGTTTCACGAACACCAACTTTGGAACTACTAATGAATTTCCCTTGCAACAAAGAGGATGTTTTTGACAAAGATCGAGGTACAGGCTTTATGACTTCGTGGGGTTTCACTGTTGATTCGACCTCTTGTTGCTTTACGTTGTTGTCGTTGTTGTGAGATTGCACTTTACGTCGCATGTAGGTGTTCCAATAATTTTTAACATCGTTTGAAGTTCTTCCCGGAAGCCTTCCTGCAATTAGGGACCATCTAGATCCACAAAACAATTTTTTATTTAATCAAATATTGCTTGAAAGTTAATTATTTTTCTTTTATATTTCAAAGATTATTATGATTTTAATTTTTCATATCATCTTGAGATAAAGATTTCTAGAATATTAAATAATTATTTTTTTTAAATATAACATTATAAAAAATATTACATACAATAACATAAAAAAATGTCATTATAAATATAATATATGATATAAGCATAAATTTATTTAACATATTGATACATAATTTTAATGTCAATTTTGAATAAAATTCAATAATATATAATATATTATTATAGTTTATATTAATACTTTTTAATAATATAATAACATATATTATATCTATAATATTGATAAATATAATTTTTAATGATAAGTATTATGTTACTGTAGAGTATGTTATTTTATGACAATAATATTTTTTAAAGTGTAAACAAAATTAAACAATGTCACAGATGATAATTTTGAAATTTATAATTAAATAATTACGTATAAAACTTTTATGCTGTGAATATATTCTTAATTAGACTTATATATTTTTTGTTTATTAGCTTGGCCTTCTTTTAATCTCTAAACAACTCTATATATATCTTGTACAAGATCATATACAAATCAAGTTGGTTTTTGAATAAATATTTGATGCATATAATATGGATTAAAATATCAAATATACGGCATATTAATCTCTCAAGAGCATATCATATAGTATACAGACCTGTTTCCCAAAAGCTTATGCAATCTGATCATCATATCAATCTCATCTTCACTGAAATCTCCTCGCTTGATATTTGGTTTTAGATAGTTCAACCATCTCATTCTACAACTCTTGCTGCATCTGTTCAACCCTACGTGCCAAAACGCCAGAAGATACATATAAAATGTTTATTACAATATGTATATATATAGTTAGATCTATGCAACATACATGCACTGAAGAAAACGAAAATATTAAAATAAATAAATAGAAATATACCTGCTCTTTGAGGAACAAGGTGCCATTTTCCTTCTCCATATATTTGAACCCAAGTTTTGAGAAGATCATCTTCAATTTTACTCCATGCACCTTTTCTCACACCTGATGATGATCCTTCCATTGTAGGACACAAGTTTATCTGGGTTTAGTTTTTCTACAATTTGTTCAGTTGTATATCTCTATACGATCTTCAACCCTTTAAAGTAAGTACTTACTTACTGTAACACATTACGTGTCAAACAACTTATGTAGAATGCGGATACCAGCTTACTGTCAAATCCAGACCCTCCATAGAGACCGAGTTCTCTAATAAAATCCTAACCATACATTACATTTATTGTTCTACAGTTAATATGTTTTACAAACTATCATCTCAATGTTAATGAAGCTTAATTAATTTCTTTGGAACTGACCAATGTCTATTAATTAGCTAGTACTCCCTTATTTTTTTTTTTTTTTTTTTATATTTAAGGTTATGTACAAGAATTAATGATTGATATTTTAGTTTTTCAAAATATTTATTACTTATTTTTTTGTTATACCTTTCAGGTGATTGGAGAAGAAATAAGTACATTGAGAATGAATAAACACATTGTTTAGTAAACACACATTAATTATCAAAGATAAAAAAAAAATATTAATAAGTTATTGATTTTAAAAAATTAAAAATTAAAAAAAACAAGAAATAATATGAAAACAACTATAAATAAAAAACGAAAGAAATATTATTAAAACTTACTTTTATAAATTCTCATAATTGTTAAAAACATGTAGGCATAGATTATATATAATGACACACAATATATGTCATGAATCTCATTCAAAATCAACACTAAAATTATGTGAATATATGTCAAATAAATTTATATTTATATATATATATATATATTATAT